GGCTGTGTTCATTCATATGCAGAAATATTGCACAAACATCATAATTAGTTTCCTGGTTCCCATAAAACAAAGCAGTACAACTAAAGATTCATGGAACACATCAAAACTGTTGGAACACATTTTGAACTTAACATTATCAGACTCTTTGGGTGGGGCTAGCAGCTGTATACAAACACAAAACACACAGATAAATATTCAAGACAGAGCCAAAAGTAGCTGGGAAGTCTACACCACAGTACTTTAGTCATTGCAGATTGATCCAATCAAATTATTCCAAATTTAGGGAACTAGAACTATGTCAGCACAAATTAGCTGGTCTGCTCCATGCGCAGGATAGAACCAAAGTATTCAGAGATCTCGCACACACACACAAAATTCCAGCCCCACCATGAAATGCCATTTCATAGCCGAGGGTGTGATGGTTAGAGCGCCCACTGGCCAATCAACACTAAGCTTTGATAAGAGCCAGAAGCAGCGGCTAAAGTGTGTGTGTCCACACAAACACACGCAGCAGCAGCAGCAGGGATCCTACTGTTATGCGCTCTGTGGTACAGTAGGCTGGCACGTTGGGGGGAAATGGGGGTTGTGAGATGCTGCTGGCAAACTGATGGTGTGTGTGAGTGCGTGTGTCGGAGGGGGAGGTGGAGGTCAGAAAAAAAGTGGTAGAACTGAGGAGTGAAGCAAAGGAAAAGTAGAGAAGAAAAGAAGTTGGGCAGAAAGAGCGAGAGATGTAGGAGAAAAAACAACGGTGGGATAAAGATAAAAAGCTTGGAGGGGAAGGGAAATTAAAGAGCAGAAGGGGAGAAAGAACTAGCTGAGAAGAGAGAAAGCACAGAAGGTGTTGCCTGTACAAATCTTGCCAAAATTTACTGGTGGTGTTAGCGAGGGAACAGAAAACTAGACTGTTAAACTCAAATTTAGCTTGTGCAAAGCTGGCTGAGGAAACTTGCTGCCAGTCAACTACAAACACAGTGCATGTATGAGGATGCAATCATGCACACATGCACATTGTGACAAAATTAAAACATGCAAAGCTTGCACAAACACATGCAGAAAAAAAACAAACTGCAGCTCGAGCGATTGGAAGCTCCCTTTGGAGTTTACGGCATTTGATTCTCCCACATTTTCACAGCAGTTGAGGCAACAGTTTGGAATTTGAATCTCAGGGGAAAAAAAGTGTTTGTGCTTTTTTGTATGTGTGTCTATGCAGACCCTGTAGGGCAGGTGTGAACCGAACCCGAGAGAGAAAAGCCGTTCTTATGTTTCAATTCACTTTACCCAACCTCGTTAAGCCTGTTAAGCTACCCCCAAAAACCCTCCAGTCAAATTAGATGCAAATGAGGCCTCAAGTGGCTTTCCAAGTAGAACATTACGGAATTGACTGGCCCGAGGTAATCTTTGAGGCTGGCAGCATGTGAGTGTGTCTGTTAAGTGAACAGTTGGGGCCACCACAGTTTTTCTCTCGTTAACCTTTCCAAATGTTTACAATAGTGAGGAAGACCGGGCTTTTAAAGAGATTGATTCTGTGGTTATGACAGGTGGACTGCGGCGCTTGCTTACTCGTTTTCACATGTAGCAGAAAGAAACTAGATTCAAACTTTCGCACTGTGTGTAATAAAAAGGCTAAGTGGGGGCATATTGTGAAAGCTACATGAGTGTTACAGTGCTTTCATGCTTTACAGTGCATCTTGACTGATTCTCTTCACTCCAGGCATCCACCGTTCCTCAGGAAATTTACCACTGTGAAATGTTTCAGTGTTATATAATGTGACAGTATATCTTGAAATCCTCTTAACTCCATGTGTCACGTACTTCTGCTTTACTCTGCTGTGAATTTCTACATTTGGTTTCATAAAACTTCAAGCAATCGTTCTAAATTACTCTGATTCGATATATGTGTCTATAGAGGGTGCGGCAATGTAGAAGTTGAAAAACATTTTCCCGGAAAGATAAGGTGAAAGCCTCGCCTTAACTAAATGCTACATGTTTTGCGCCCTTGATGCATGTTCTAGTGTTGTGAGGTAACAGATACACATTATATTTTCTAATATTTCAGCGAGAGAGAGACAAGAAAACTTTTAAATCAGAAAAAAGATGGAGGATTTCAGTGCTACAATATTTAAAGCAATGTTGAAACCATGGGCGTAATTTCCAGGGGGGTTATGTTATCTTTACTCATTTCAGTTATTACCAGCAAAATAGTTGCACGTTTAAATTTGGACGTTGGAAATTTACCCAGATTTATTTATTTATTTAGACAGAGATCTTGAACTATATTCTACACCAGCGGTCCCCAACGGACCGGTTTATGCTCGACAATATTTTCACGGACCGGCCTTTAAGGTGTCGCGGATAAATACAACAAAATAAAACTAGTACCGGTACCGAAAAAAAGAAGATTTATTCATAACACACGTGAAAAGACCCAGGAAAACAGAGTTAACGATAAAAACGATAACAAAATAACGCTGAAAACCGATAAAAACCCTGAAAACCAGACATTTCACACCTGAGCCTCAACTTTCGCGGCCGGTACCAAACGACTCACGGACCGGTACCGGTCCGAGGCCCGGGGGTTGGGGACCGCTGTTCTACTCTAGGATGATGTGAATTGATTTAAATGTATATGGTCCATTTCATTTTAAAATGATCAGTTAAACTCTTTTAAGCATGAACAATTCATAAAGTTCTTTTTTTTAACCCAAATCATAAGGACTTTTATCCCTAATTGTGACTTTTCACTTCACTTCAAGTTTATTGCCAGTTTTTGCCACCATGAAAAAGTCTGTTATACCATAATGTCAAGCCACAATGACGAGTGTGTTAGTATACCATAGAAAAAGCCCGGAAAGTCTTGAAATATGGACGAAAAAATAAAAACTTATAGTCTTAAAGAATCTCTGCCAATGGAAATCATCACCTTACGCTTTTGCAATCTGTAAATGTGTCAGTGGTGAAGTGTGGAAGTATTCGATTATAGTTGAGAAACTTTTTGAAATTTACAACTTTTACTTAGAAGTTAACAACTTTTTTGTTACAAGAATCTGTTGTCCACATGAACTTTATCACAACTGTCAAAATCAAATCCCTGCTTAGGGCAATGATGCTCATCTCTCTTAAAACAAAGTGTCTGTTGTAACCTTTAGGACTAGAATCTCATCCATTTTAATGTTTCCCAACCCAGACTCCCTAAAATATATCTGCAGAGGGAGAACGAGATGAAGGTAGAAAAAGAGGGAGGAAAAGAGCAACTCTTGGCCAAAGTCACATCTGAAACACTGACCTGGATAAATCAGAGAAACATAAACACAGTTTCTGGACTGAAAAGGGAGGGAGGGGGCGCTGCTACCCCAAATATTCCACCCTGGGGACCCCAGGGAGACGCAGAAGACCCCGTTATCCCACCTCCCCATCACAACCTGCTCTAATTATTTATTTTTCTTGAGTCTAAATGTCTTCGGGGGATTACTGTGCAAAAGCCAACAGGTCCTAGGAGGTCACAACAGCCCTGTTGAATAGCAGAGGTATGGGGGTTCATTGTTAACACTCATACATACACACACAAGAAAAGCAATCACACCAGCCAGTGCAAACACGCAGGCACACAAACATATGAAACAGCTCAGCCAAGCAAAAATCCACACACACATGCTAATCACATGTTCATATCCACCAGTACCCCCCACATCCACACACACACACTCACACATATTCACAAACATGACCCCCCACTTTCCTCAGCAGCCTACTGATTGTGTTTGTTGTCTCAGGTTAGGTCTGTTGTTGATCCCCTGCAGGGCTTTTGGCTGCTCTGTTGTCATGCATAATCACTTCCATACCTTAACAGCAAAGGTGTGTGTTTGTGAGTGCATGTGTGTGGCTGCGCTGATGTATACGTGTCAAGATCAGGCTGGAGGTGGAAGCAGCGCCTGTCAGTGTTCTGTCCCTGCCTAAGGAATGAATATGATTTTAAACTGTCACCCAGGCTAAGAATAAATAAAGAAAGAACCAGTAGTTCTTGAAGTGAAAAACACTGAGGATCTAGTTCAGTTTTACTCATATTCTACAAAACTTTAGAAAGTCTTACCCAGGCATGTGAAAGAATACAATTTAAAGTGATTTAAGGCGACTTTCTCACATTCTTTTGACCTGTTTAAAATTTCAAAAGCTCTCTCTAAAAACATAGTTGGTGACTGTTTTCTTAACCACCTCTGTTCATTGGGGGTCGCAGGTGATTTTAGGGCACTTTTGTGTGTGCAATATATTAAGCTAGAATAAAATAGCAGTATTTTAAACTAAAGGCATTGCAGCTTTTCACAGTAAGACGTACCCTTTGAGTAATATGCTGACAGGATTTTTGATAGCAGTAGTTTCCTTACGATTTTTAAAAGCCACATAAAGCCAGTCATCGTCTAAAAAAAAAAAGCTTTATCCACTTTTATATAAAAGTTATGTCCCAACTTTATATAGCCTGAGTAGTAATCATGGCAACAACGATAAAAAAGTACCAGAAATAGAGTTTTACATACAGGACGGGGGTTTATAAGATAATATAAAAACATGAATTTAATAAACTAAATGGGATGAATTTAATAAACTAAGTGGGATGTTGATGCACATGGATGCTATTACAGTAGCCTGCTGTATGAAATAAGTACCGTTATGTGCAAGTGATGAAAGTTTAACAATGCACGACTAAGTTTTCGAGATGTTTTTTAAAAATGTATTTGCTTAGGCTGCTGCCCCCGCGACCCGGCCCCGGATAAAGCGGATGAAGATGGATGGATGGTATTCAAAATATTTTGCTCGGAAAAATCTGCGAAAACGTGCAGTTTTCCTACAGAGCATGTTAAGTTTAAAATGCACTATCCACAATTCAGGAGCATGGGAGTAATGCAAAGGGAGAAAAGGTGAATAATAAGGTCAGAGTGCCCTCTATGATGAATTTTGGTTAAATTGATGCAATTACAGATAAGTTGAAAAAAAACAACTGCTCTTACAGGCGCTCGGCATTCCTCGGTATTCCTTTGGGCACAGTCTTCAAACCCAGACCCTGGCAGTCCACATGAGATCCGGAGCAGCTACACTTGTGTGGGCATCCATTCACCGATGTAGCGCACACCAGCAGAGCGAAAGCTAGAGCCCAAACCCGGCAGAGCGCGGCGCGCTTCCCCGGTGTGGTCGGAGGCATTATAGCAATCCACCGAAATTACTTCCAACAGACGTTAATTGAAAATCCGCGGGGGGTGAAGGAGACACCGTGGAAGTGCGGATCCTGTGTAAGTTGAAGACAGGACGTTTTTTCTGTGGCAGAATTTTGGAAAAAAGAAAGAAAAACGCAAGCCGAAATCAAATTAAGTTCGCTGTTGCACGAATTCAGAAAACTTCTCTCCAGAGACTCGGTAACTACGAGTCTACTTAAAACATCCCTTTGCCAGTGACGAAGAAGACAATAACAACGTAGATATGACACGCTAGACAAAAACTTTAAATATCTATTCGTGCGTCACTCAGCTCAATGCGTAAAAGTTTCCCCAAATGTTCTCCATTCCCAAACTCTCCGAGAACTTATGAGCCTAGCTTCTAAACCTTCCAAGGTGAGAATATTCAGCTGGGGTGTAACCTCCTTCCAAGGAACATCCCTCCGCTGCCAGGGAGTAAAAAGTGAGAGTAGTAAAGGAGTTATAATCACACACATACAAAAAAAAAAAGTTGAAAGCGCAGTGGCGCAACACAGACTGATTCGCCTGGCGATTGTGAGAGCGAGAGAGGCAAACAGATTTGTATTTAGGTTCCCCCCAAAATCCTCCTTCCCTCTCCCTCCCTCCCTCTCTCTCTCTCTTTCTGTTGATGTCAGGAGAGTCGGAGAGCTCTACAAACTTTGATTCGTCCTTTATCTTCCCCAAGTCTGTAAACCAAACTCGAGTAAAACTCTATCCACGGAAGCAGCGTACTCATTTGAGCTGGTTTCTCAGCAGCTCTTCTTTTATTTTTTTAGCCCATTTATCAACGTAATGAACTTGCTATCATGTTTTGGTTTTGAGGCGCGTCTTTTTTCAGCCATATTTATCATGCATCATCCTGCGGGAGTCTGTGTTGTGTGTCAACTTCATTGATAGATGCTTTAACAAGTAGCATATGACAAAAATGCTGGATGACAGCTCAGTCATAGTTGATCACATTTAATTAAGCTGAACTTATCTGTTATGGTGTTAGAAAATCCACACAGTGTACAATGACTGTGGGGTGAAACGAGGCTTGTTGCGACAGGTGATACATATATACATATATGATCAGCTCAATATAAATAAGTATGGATTTAAGGTGAGTTAAACTTATATTCTTAGTGGTCACAGGCAAAAGTTAAAGCTCTTGCTAATAGTCCAACTACTCTTCATCACTACACAGACTTGCACACAGCTCTTGGTGCAGATAGCAGGACTAAGGCTAAAAGAGTTTTCAGAGCAGATAAAGTATGAAGACTTGCAGAGTGTTGCAGTAGTGCTGCTGCCCTCTATTGGTAGAAGGAAATAAAGGTGGATTATCGTCAACTGCAGTTATAAAATAATTTCATTTCTAATTGAATCAGTGTTGTCTAAATTAATCCAGTGCATTCCTCCAAATCTAAAAAAATCTGATGGGCTTTTTCTCAGCAGTGTCTCAGTCTTTAATTAACAGTGGGGAGTTCAGCACGGTGGCACGGTGGTTAGCACTGTTGCCGCACCGCAAGAAGGTCCTGAGTTCAATTCCACCATCAGGCCGGGGTCTTTCTGTGTGGAGTTTGCATGTTCTCCCCGTGTTTGCGTGGGTTCCCTCCGGGTACTCCGGCTTCCTCCCACCGTCCAAAGACATGCAGCTTGTGGGGATAGGTTAATTGGATAATCCAAATTGTCACTAGGTGTGAATGTGCGAATGAATATGAGTGTGAATGGTTGTCTGTCCCTGTGTGTCCCTCCGACAGACTGGCGACCTGTCCAGGATGTACCCCGCCTCTCGCCCTATGACAGCTGGGATAGGCTCCAGCACCCCCCGCGACCCTGAAAAGGATAAGCGGAAGCGAATGGATGGATGGATGAGTTCATAAATATTGTAACACTTAGGTCTCAAACTGAGCAATTCAATATTTCATTCTTGGTCTCACTCTAATTAAAACATCAGTTTTCCTGCCAGTGGGAGCAAAAGGGAGACTTGTGACTAGTTTAATATTTGATTAATTCTCTGTAAACAAATCTACTTCGAAGGTTTTTCAAAAATTCCCAAAGCTTTTAGAAATCCATCCCATATCTAATTTAAATTTTAATGGTTTGCATTTGGTGTTTGTTCAGTTCCAGAAACAGACTGATTCACAGTTAGTCATGAATTTTTTCAGTGCCTTGCAGAAACTTGCATTAACAGATTTGCTGAGGTGGAAAACACATCATCATCAGTCTTTCTGCTCAAGACCGGGGATATTGGACCTTCTACCACTGTTGTATGAACACTTTATTATGCAATATTAATACCCCCAATCTAGTGTGTGGGTGCAGGATTGTGATGTCAAGAAAAGAAGCTGCTTTGAAAATGAGCTTTGCGTCACTAGAGCAGAGGAGCTTTGTAGTGACTAATTCAAGCACCTCCTGGGGCTCCGCCAGGTGCCCTCTGGCATACAGGGAAACCAAATCCCGACAGAGTTTCCTGGGTCTACACAGACGTTTCCTCCGTGCTGGATGTACCCAAAAAGGCACAGTAGTGAGCATTCTGTTAAAGAAAGTAAGCCAAGCCTCTGCACAGAGAAACCTCAACAGAGTCCGTCGCCTGTCCTAGCAAAATACATCCCAAAATTTGAAAGTGGGTAAGCATGACAATGACTTATGACCCTTAAATTCAGCATAATCAACACTAAATTTCCTAACCACATGTATCCACATGTGCATCCATTTACTCTTGTGACAATAAGGTACACATACACAGACATACACATAGAGCCCTTTCCATCAACAGAAAATGAGGATGGCAAACCAAACCAAAGAAAAGTTTAGAGGCTGAGCCCATAGAACAGAAAAATGGGAAATAAAACTATTCATTTCTTGTCCTGATTGGTCATTAGTTTAGTAAAGTCATCAATACTGGTGAAAGATGTTGGTGCTGCAGAGCTAACAGACCTAAGGCGTGGTAAATTAACATAAAACTTACATCAAATCTGTAACAATTGCCTCTGGATTTCAGCAACACACCACTGTGCTTTCAGCTTAGATGGGGCTGAGATGGTAATGGCGCTTTATAATACATTTAAAACTGCTAACAATCTTTAATTACCTGTGACAGCAGTTATTAAATTCTTAATCTAACAAGGCTAAAGAAATTAAATATATTTAAATAAATAAAACAGATTATTGACCTGTCTTGTGCTGGCATTTGTTAAAAGTCTAAATAAATATGGCTGTACATTTTGGTAATGTCATCAAAAAAGCCACTACATGGGATATAGTTATATTCTTGACTTCACCAGCTGTTTAACATTCTGTCATTTGGACAGGAGCAGCAGGAGAGAACAGGATGTACAGACAGATATACAAAGAGATTCAAAACAAAAATCAAGGCTGTATTGGCTGATCAAAAAGTAAAATAAAACACTTTCCAACAAAAAAGGTACAAGAAGAATGAGGAACGCACAGAACCAACAGGTGATCTGACAACACACAAGTTGATAGGCAAGACTATGTTACATTTACTGAGCAGATCAATGATGAAACACAGGTAAAAGGAGACAAGGGTGTATAATAACAAAAAACCCTCAAATGCAAATTAAACTAATGACCTAGACACTGGGCTTTTCTGATTTCATTTCATCATTGTTCCTTTTTTCCTCTTTTGCCCTCCTACCTGTGATCCAGAAGTCAATATCTACACCCAGATGAAGAATGTCTCAATCCCTTACAAGCATCTGAAGGAAAGAGAGACAGAAGACTTGCATTGGGCGCGATCATGGATGATGCACAGTTGCATCCTTTGCTAAATATTTTAATGTTCAACAGTTCACCATATAAGACACAGTGTCTGACAGAGTGACTAAGCAAACCAAGGAAGGAGGAGGACTCTAAACAGTTTGTCACATTTATCCACATCTTGTTTTCATTACTCAGTATAATCAAACTTTCTTACTTTCACTGTTTCAATGTGTTTTTAATGATATGATATCTTGTCAAAGTACCATGCACTATAGTCCTTAATGTAAAAAAAAGTCATAAGCACTGTTATCCGGTTGTTAAGTGATGACGGGATGAATCCTACTTCCGGGCCTAAAGTAGTCTGCGTTTAATATGGCTTTTGTGTTGTTAACATGTTTAATGTTTTGTATTTTCTTCTATTTAAGCCAGACACGGCTAGTGACGTCAGACTTAACAACCGGATACCCTAGATTAAAAAAAATAAAATAAAATACAGCAGTAGTTGGGCTATCCGGTCATTAGCCATTTCCGGGTCCAAACTCTTCAGGTCCCAAAGTCAGATGAACACTGCAACGTCACTGAGAGTTAAAAACTGTCTAAATTCTTTCATCTTTAATAAAAATGATCAGTGTGGCTCCTCTACCAGGTGTAACAATTACATTTAACATTCAGGCATCTATGAAAACAGAATTTATGAAATTTAATAGAATTCACAATAACCCAAGAGCATTAGTACAACACTGAAGACTCATCATTGGAAAATAATACATAAAAATAATAATAAATAAACCTCAGGAAATAAAATAAACAGAAAAATTGAAGACTTAAACACAAAAACGGAGGAAACAAACCTAAACAGCAACTCAAATATAAAACTACTAATTCAAACTTCAAAATCAGCACAAAACCATAGGACCATCACAATGTGTTGTGTAAAGGCTTGTTGCATTTGTGGCACCAAGTGTCAACATGAATCCATTTAAGTCTAATCACAAATTCTAATGTCTGGTCTCTCCCTCATTGTGATGAAGAGCTGGTTCTGCCAATACTGGCCTTGGGGTCTTTTGAAAACCAGCCCACATTTTGATAAATCTGAGATCCTGTTATTAAACAGTGTTACTAGCAGAATTTAGAGTAATTTCAATGGAAAGAAAATCACAGTGGACAGAATGTGTGGGCTGCATCCTCCAATAATTGATGAAGTTCTTGTGGAAGCCTCATCCATTGCTACTGACGTCAATGGCTCCAATGTCGAGCCCAGCAGTTTTATTGTGCCAGTTTTTTGTCACCAAAACAAATCTTTTTATGGTGGAAACGACAGAGTTGTGGCACGAACTCCAACACAGTGCGTGCACTGCCTGATGCTGCAGTGAGTGATAGTTTACACTTGTCCTTGGGCATACCTTTCAAGAGAGCGAGGTTTCCTGGACTAGGAACAGCAAAAATGCATCACAGGCAACTATCTAACTATCTAATGCATGTTTGTCACGAGCTGAGAAACTCACAGAGACCCCGAGAGAAAATCACAACCCTATTATGTATGTGCGATTCCGTTAATGTGACACAAGCAATTCAGACTTGTCCCCCATTGAAAATGCTACATAAATGTTAATTGGGTTGACCTTGTATGATTACCATTGTTACTCAATGGAAATTGTCCTGTCGCTGAAGGCAACAAGAGCTGTGTGAACAAATAAATAACAATCACACACACACTGAAACACTCAAAATGAAGGAGATACTATCTTATTTTTCCTAGGACAAACCAATGCTTATGAAACCACTCTCTGAAGGCTTTGTTTGGGCTCTCTGCGCTAAGA